GTTTGGAACGACATGAGGGTGAATAAAGGATGACAGAATTTTCATTTTTCAGTGAACTATCCCTTTTTAAGGGATTGTTCACTCAAAAATGCTAATTCTCTCATCACTTACTCACCCTCATGCCATCCCTGATGTATCCATCAAAAAATCCATCTCTGTAAGTCCATGTAATGCAAGTGGATAGGTCCCTCAAAGTTGACACTTTAAAAAACACACAAAGAAAGCACAACACTAATCTATGTGACCCAGTGGATGAATCAATGTCTTCTGAAGCAAAACTATAGATATGTGTGAGAAAAATACTAATATTTAAAAAATTTCAAATTATAAACCATTGCTTCCAGCCAACTGTCAAACATAGGTTCATGAGTTCACGCTTGACGTAAATATCAGCACATTGTGAAGCCTGACAAGCTTGTGAATCTCGGCTGAGAAGTGATGAGAACGCACATAGGACCGTCACTTCTTGCACGAGTTTCACAATGTGCTTATATCATGTCAAATTAACATAAGTAAACATTTTATAAACTTATTAAACTTAATAAACAGATTAAAGTGCAAAAGAATTATAAAGAACAATAGGTAACACTTTACAATAAAGACTCATTAGTTAACCTTATAGTAGACCGGTAAATAGATTGGGGAGATAGACCAGTTGAGAGGGGCAGTGTTTGAAATTTTAACCAGTTGATGGAAAAGTATTCTTAAAATGTTTTCTAAAAATCTAAATTTGTAATAGAGTTATTCACAGTAATTTTGAAGTGCCCACTATAACAATACCAAGCATGTTCGTTATTGTGATATAACGTATTACCCAATATCTGTATGTCTATTTTCCATATATTTACATTGAATGAAGAAAAAAATATTTTTACTTTCCTCTCCTTAAGATATTTTTCTAAGTTTTCATATCTTAATACAGTTAAAGGAGTAGTTCACTCAAAACTGAAACTTCTGTCGTCGTTTACTCACCCTCATGTTGTTACACACACGTAAGACTTTCGTTCATCTTTGGAAAATAAAGCTAAAGCTTTTATTCACATACAAACAATCATCCAAATACATAGAGTACATCAAATCAAAGTAAACAGAATCTCACACATGCTTGAGAACCAATTAGGTGTTAACAATGTTTTGTTTGAGTCTTAACTGAATCTGTGAAAATATTAAAATGTTATTGCAAGGATTACAATTGAACAATTAAAAAATTAAAAGTTATACAGTTGTCATTGCTTATTTTCAGTTAAATTATATATATATTTTTCTTGTATTTCAATGTTACTGGAGAAAAGACCATAAAATTACCGTATATGTTACAGTAAAAACTGTAAAAGTACAGTACACATACTGTAAATACATGTACAGCAAGTTAAATGGTACTGTAAATATTAATACAGTATTTTTACTGTAAGTTTAATTTACAGTAAGTTACTGGCGAACTGCTGCCAGTAAGTTACTGTAATTTCTACAGGAAATTTGTAACAGTGCACAAGTTATTCTTCCTCACACATCTCAGAACACATGGATGGATTTAAAAAAAAAAACATCTTTCCTTGTTATACTGAATATGGCTTGAGGTGCTGTTGCTGTGAGTTACCTGCGAGTAAAAAAACAACAACAAAAAAAACATGAACGGCAGTGGGGAAATCTCAGAAATCTCAGTCACTCTGTCCTGAATGTTTAGTCAGTTTTACGAGTGTTCAGTTGTTTTGTGAGAAGCCTGACAATTATACATGGTTTGTTATTTTATATTAACCATTGTGTTTAAATAGTGCCAAAAATGCCAAACCATAAAAATTGGCCAATTTAATTGACAGTCCAGAAATCCTCATCATGTGCCCTTTTCTCATGCCGTTACAATTTTATGGCAACTGACTTGGTATTTCAATAACCAGCAGTGAATGATTTTATTTACTTGTTTATTTATTGAAATACTTTATTTCCCTCTTTGGGGGATTATAAGCCAAGTCCTTAGCTTTTCCTCCCTTTGTTTTTCTTTCCTTTATATAAATCTAACATTTTTTTGTCTTCAAATCCACATCTCTCAAGAGACTGTCTTTCACTGTGGAACAATACTTTCATGTACAGAATCTAGCCGATATGAAAAGACAACTTGTTTGCTTCATTTAAGCAGTCCTGTCATATCATAAGTCTTTATGATGCTGTTTTTCACAGAGTCACAATGATTGGCTGGTGCATCATAGTTGCATTGCTTTCATGGGACAAAGTGAACCCACAACTGAATTTGGGAAGGTGGCAAGCAGTGTCCTGTGGTGTAACATGCTATAATTAATCTAAAACCATTTCAAACAGCATTGTTCTAATGATTTTACATTACGCATGCAGTTTATGACCACATTCTCTATATGGAACTGTATTTTTAATTCATTTGTCACACCACAGGACTGCAAAAAGGAAAAAAAGTTACCATCTAGTCACATCTGGTTTAGGTTGCCGTTTATTTGCCAATAAAACAGCGCTGCTCCACATATGATGTCAGTTAATCAAAAATTACAATGGTTACAGTGCAGGAACCGAGTGTGCTAATGACATTTGAGGCTAATTAATGAAAGTAAATGTGTGTTTGGATGTCAGTTCTGGCAATTCACCAAGGCCAACACCGGTCTGATGACTGTTGTGTGGCTCGGCTCTGCATTTTTAAAAAAATTTTTTTATGTTTATTCTGACCATAATTCACCATGATGATTACTGCAGATCATTAGATTCTGTGTGCTCAGCTACACCGCTCCGGCTCGCAAACTCATCTAAAATGATTACGATAAATGTATATATCTTTTCATCTGAATAAAGCTGTCAATCGTATTACCATTGAATTACCATTCTCAGAAGTTCAAAAAGTTGTCACATTAACAACATTTATAATGTTACAAAAGATTCCATTTTAAAAAAGTGCCATTCTTTTGAACTTTCTATTCATCAATGAATCCTGAAAAAAAGTATCACTGTTTCCATCACAATATTAAGCAGCACAACATTAATATTAAGAAGCAATGTTTCTTGAGCACTGGAGTAATGACTGCTGAAAATTCAGCTTTGCCATCACAGGAATAAATTACATTTTAAAATTTATAATTATAGAAAACAGCAATTATATTTATAGTTATTTTAAACAGAAATAATATTTATTTTACTGTATTGTAAAACAGTCCAATACGACAAAATTACCCTGAACCTTTGAAAATCAGTGTATATGCTAAAAATATAAATAAATAATATAATAATAATTGATGACTCATTCTAGAGTTGAATACATAGATTCAAATCTCTCTATGATGAGACTATCCCTCACCCTAATGCGAAATGCAACCAACTACCAAGTAGCAAATCATGATTCATGTCTGACGTAACTGGCTATTGGTTTTAGAAAAAAAAAAGAAGGGGGAAAAAAAAACTAAATCCCTTCAGTAAGGCCCACCCAAACTTTCTGTTTCAATAGGAAACACTACAACACAGGAAAGAAAACAACATTAGAAAATGACATTGGAATGTCTGTGTCAAGTATTTCAAATCAATATTATCAATGTTTTCAGACAGCTCTTTGAGCATAGCTTATTGTATATGTTTGTGTGCGTGTGAATACGAGGAAAATGTGAATCACTCTCCTATGCAGGAATGCAACCCTGGGGTCGTCTCTTGACTTAGTCCTCTATCTCTCATCCTTTTGCTCTTTTCAGCTCAGAGAAAGAGATAAAAAACAAATAAGAAGTGGAGAGAAGGAAGGACTAAAGTTGCACGTTAATGAGCTGCTGAGAACAA